GATCAGCACCATGCTCAAGCAGCAGCTTCAGCACTGGCTCGTGTCCACCTGCAGCAGCAAACATCAGTGCTGTCTTGCCATCATTGTTTGCGGCTCCTGGATCAGCACCATGCTCAAGCAGCAGCGGCAGAATTGATTCATCTTTTCCGAACTGTGAGGTGAACAGGAGCAACTCATTCAGCCACGTGGCTCTCCGATTCTCCGACTCAAAGCTTTCACAAATCTCATCAAGCTGTTCCTCTGTAATGTGGGCTCCACGGAGGCAGCACTCGACGGCCGCTTCATACTCAGAACACTGCAGCAAGTTCTGCAGAAGACTCGTGGAAAGCAGGGAGTGCATGTGTCGGGTGAAGTCGCCAAACAATTCGAGATCATCATATGTAACTGCAAGAAAGTTGAAGAAGTATTCTTCCGTTTGACTGTAGATTACCTTCTTGATACCGCTGTTGGCAATCTCGGTCCAAATTCGGTACTTGTCTGCCTCCACGGAGCTTTGGGCCTTGCCTTATAGTCTGTCGACAGAGCGTTGCGTCCCGTGACACACGACCCAACGTATCACGTGAAGAACGACCATGGACGATGGATGTTGCAATTGACCCACCACCCAAATGGAAATCAATCTGGGAGTAACCCGCATGGTTGGTATCCACAAAATCGTTTTTAACTCGAACTAAATTGTTTCTATTCTTGGGTTTTCACCTCTCTTGGATGCATGGGATGGTTAAACTTCTAGCAAAAGCACAGAAACACACGCAAACCAATCTACACTGGGATTGAACCACCCCTGGTGCAAAACCCTTTCAGATTAAAAGCCCGTGTCAAAAATGTCAAGTGCAATAGTAAACTGAATAGACAAGATGCTTGGTGACACTTTCCACAGGGCTGTGCAGGTCGCCCTTCGCATCTCAGCTTGTTCTGCTTCTGAGCCCCGAACTAAGCCCACTGGATTGGATAATGAGCCCAAATCGCCTCAAGCCATCCCGGCTAAAGCAAAGGTCATCAGTCACATTCTACGATAGTATACCACACCCAATGCTTTCCCTGGTTAAAACATGTTAAAACAACTATCAAAGGAAACAACACCTTAGAATCTTCAAAAACAAAAACTTTGCCAACCTCATTCGCCGCTCCAAAGACCGCATTGATCTTGGCCGGTCGTGCCGGACGAGTCACAAATCAACTCGAAGGGCCTCTGCAAATCTTTGAGTCGAGAGACTTCGAAGAGGCACCAAATCCGCGTAAATGGATTGATCTCTTGGTCCAAGACCTAGGAAACACGGATCGCATCTGAATAAAATGTCCAGTCAGAAATGCAAGTCTGGGACTACCAGGACCATTATCTACATCTGGTGCAATCATACTTCCATAGGGCAAAAACCTTCAAGCAAATGGCACCATGAAAGGCTCCACAGCTTTACATTTGTCGGACCTCCCAATCCGAAGCAAAAGCCCGCATTTGGCAGACCCCTCAACTAAAAGAAATTACAAAATTAAAACAATTACCACACCACGCAATGTGACCTGTCCATCTTGCAACACCCAAAACGCATGTCACTAAACCCAGCCCACCAGCCACTCTGTTGCAGAAGTCACTAGTCTATCCCAGGCGCCATCACTGCGCCACCAGCAGCTTGCGCCAAGGCCGCGTTGAACGGTCCTTGCTTGGGATTCTCGCCCACCTCCTCTGCCACGGCGTGCTGGTTCAGTGCGAAGAGGCCTGAGGCCGGCACGCTGGTTGCAGAGGCCGATGCGGCTCGCTCTGGGCATGGTGGACGGAATCCGATGAAGTGGACGAAACTGTCCGGATTCCTTTGAAAGAACTCCTTCTAAATGATCTTTCTCAACTCGAATCCCTTTAATTACTCATGAATCTGGGTTTCGCAGAAAGTGGCCCAAATGGGACTGCAGCGAGGATTTCTGACAGAGGGGTATATTCATGAGAAGGCAATCGACATCTGCCGAAATGGACGGATCGACCTCCAAGCAAGCTGATTTAAACATTATAAACGTGTACATTTGCATACACATCGTACACTTGTTCTTTTTCAGCTACACTGCACGGTTTGCTTGGACTTGGTCTGTGCCACCAAGAGACAAATCCAATATACCACTGACTGCGGCTGCTGAGCGTACTCACGGAAATGATTCGCTGCCCACAAACGAAGTGCCAGCAAGGTGCTGCCTGTTGCAGTGGGATGTGTGGAAAAACCAAGAAGCTACGAGTATCAAGTCATCAAGTCAAGTTTTGTGCTACACCCACACTGATCAGCCTGATGAGTCAGTCATGCCTCCAGCTCTTCACCTCTCTCTCTCTCTCTCCCGAGAATTCCACTAACTTACGTATATCGCAGTCCTCATTCCAGGTCAGTCTCCCTTGAAGCCAAGTCCAGCTAATCACCATTCTTCAGCTGTCCCCCTGCAAGTCACTTAACCCTAGGGCTCCAACCGTGCCTTCAGGTCCGGGTCATATTCGACCCCCCTGGCAACGCCTGGTAACCACCCACTTCTGGCCCACCGAACCGAAACGGAGGTGGGGTGGGCCAGGAACCCTAGGGTTTGACGCCAAGTTGCTGCAGAGGTGTCCCCAAAAATGCGACACGAAGACATGCACTTGGAGGCCATGTGGGTTCAGCAACTCCGAGAAGGAAGACTCCCTGAGCGGTCGACGGCCGGAGGTTGGGAGCTTGGAAGCCAACAAAATAAGCTGCGCAGGTGGAGCGGATTGAGGAGGTTGGGAAGGTTTCCAATATGCATATATATGATACCTGGACCCTCCCGAGGAAATAATATTTGCCGTAGGCTTTTTTCTGCCGTAGCTCAATCCCTGGAAAGTGAAAACGCCGTCACAAAAGAAGAATCGCCGTTTTGTTTGATCTACCAAAGAGGATATTGTTTTGGTCCGTCCATACCCTGAAATTGCCTTCTCCTTTTTCACTTGTAAGTAGAGCTCATCGTTTTCAAGCCTCATGGTGCACTTCTCAAGATGTTGCACCCTTGTCTAAGGTCTCGATTGACATCACGGCAGGATTTGTTCACATTTTGATCATGCAATGGCTGAAAGGATCGCTTGTGACATGTTGTGACAAGTCTTGCTGCCACCTTGAGTGACCCTAGACAGGGTAAGGGAACGACGCCGTAAGTAGGGGTAAAACGCCGTAAGTACGGGGAAAAACGCTGTAAGTACGGGGACAAACGCCGCAAGTACGGGTAAGAGCGCGGTTCACTTTAAATGCAAAATCTTCTGCAACGCCGCGCAAGAGGTCGAGCTACCCGCGAAAACCGACGAAAACCCAGCATGTGACACTTCCATCAGCTGCCCTTTCCACTTCACATGACTATGCGAGTTTGCTGATATAATAAGACGCCTTTTACGTTCAGTTGCCTTTCAAGCAAGACCCTACAATGTTTTCATACTCGCCTGCACTAAAGCTAAAACGAAATGACTCTTTGAGGCGCATGGATGTGTGGACCAAAATTGCCGTCAACTGACCGAAACTGCCGCAGTTCATCAAGAAACGCCATCCCCATGAGATCAATATGGAAGAACGCCGCAGAACGGAAAAAGGCGACGTTTCGGCAATTATTATTGCCATAACGAAGTTCCAGGTATATAGTAGTGGTCCGGCATGAGCTATATGCCAACTGCTGGGTCAAAAACACACACAACATATTCATTCATTGCGTATAGTTAGAGACGCGCTCTGGGACAACGCAAAGCCCTTTTGCAGCCAAGCTTCACATGTGCCCAAGGGATAGTTTGCTTCCAGTCCTGAAATCGTGCTGCACACCATCCAGGTCTTGACATAGGAGTCACCACAAAGTTATCTAGAGCATACAGGTTCGGAGCTTGTTGGAACTTCTTCCTCTCCGATATCGCTTCTGCGTTCTCTGCATTGAAGGCATCCTTACCAGCTCACATTCGGCAAAAGCGGTGAAGGTTCTTATGGACAGAAGTTCCTATTCGAACAACGAACAAAACATGACCACTGGAGACAGTATCCTACAAATTCCCTACAATCGGCGATCCTCGAAAAGGATCCGAGAGGCAATTTTCCCAAAGAAGTTGAAGCTTTGCTCTGCACAAGTCCTGCTCCCACAAACAGTTGCCTCGTTTCTCTGGACAAGCATCACACTGCTTGCCCAACCACCCAGATGTCACGAAGATCTTCTCCAAGTGCTGCAACTGACCCAGAGCCATGCCGCGCAAGGAGTGGGGAACTACTCCTCAGGTGCAAAGCAGAATGTTATTTTCACTTCCACTGAATGCGGCTTGATCAATGTTCAATGAAGTCTCATCCGGTCAAAGAACTAATTCAACACATGGCTGAAACTATTTGGGTTGCTTGGCCTCTTGAGGCCACATCAATGAAGGAAGACATATGGGACTTCAATGAACTTCACTCCTTTTTTTTGAGGAAACGCTCTAAACTCTAGACGATGGACAGAATGCAAACGGTCATCAGTCACAACACTGCCAGGCACATGTCAAGTTTCGCTGGGACTTGGCTGAACCGGGTCTTTGTTGAAATTCTCTGACGATCTCGGCAAAGCGTTCCTGTCAGGGCGATCTTTGGCTCTGATAATTCCAACACCCACCGTTTCAAAACAAGATGGGGAATTGTGTGACCATTCAGCCTTTCTCAAGAACATTGTCTTGACATCACAGTGGCCTTGCCTTGTTGATGCGCGACTGGTTAGCCATAAGCTGTTGAAGCTCTTCCTCAGATGGCCTCATGCCAAAGACTCTGGCCGCCTGCCTTGTGAGGAGTGCGGTACGAGGACGAGTACGATGTGGGGCTAATTCTTACTGCCACATCAGGCTATAGCGGACTGCTTGGGATTCCGGAATGGCATAGACTACCAGGCAGGCCGCGCCTTCTGCCGTGTTCTTGAGAATTGATGTCACCCGAATGAGGGGACGGCATTGCATCGAACTCGAGGGCCTGTGAAACCACCCGGCACCGTCCACGCATGCGGCCCAAGCGGCTTCAGCTCATGCGCGTCCAAGTCGCCGGAGCTGTCGAGGTCGCAGCGCATGGCCACGAAGTGCGGATCTCGGAGCTTTTCCTTCAACTCGGCGGAGACCTGTTTCCAGCGAAACGGGCTTCGGGCGACTTGTTCGAACGGATGACAGGCAAAAAGAGCAGCAAAAAGCAGGAACTTTCAGTGTCATTAATTAAAGGGGTTTCCAATGTTCATCCATTTTCCGGAGTTCACGCCGGAATCCGCTGCAAAGACGTCGTCCTGATTAGATGGAAGCTAGGCTTCCAACAGCATCCTTTTCTAGCTTGCCGTATGCCGCACCTGCAGCAATTCCGACTCCCAAGGCGTTCGCTCGGCGCAACAAAGCCAGGAAGAACTCGTCACTCCAAAGCCTTCATCCTCCACTGTCACCTCTACATCCATGGGGCAAACAAAGCAGATGTGAAGTGTTTGTTTTGGACCCTTCACAGAATCAAACCCTTCAAATCTGCTGACCAAAAAGCGTTAAACACTTGAAAAACTATTCCGCTGACCCTCACGCAGCCACATTGACATGACTTCTAGTTCATCTCTCTTGCATCCGCGCGACATGGGGAGCAGCAAGCTGCTCAGGTCGGAGGCCGCAGCTGTCCGACCGATGGCCGAGGTCGATGTCGCCTAAGATCTTGCACGGTCACAGCGCAGGAAGCGAACTTCGGTAACTGCAGTTCCGGATTTCGTGAACCAATCTGCCGACCCGTTTGCCCAGTTGGTTTGCAGTGCGCACATGCATATCGGAACGCAGCTAAATGAAGATCTTGCGGGGTAGGTAAGTTTGGCAATCCCGTTCAAGAGAAAGTCTGTTGCTGTTATGGGTTTAAACTGCCGAAAGTCTGCCATCGCCACAGAACCCATTGAACTCCGAAACACGAGAGACAATTCTACAAACTCAACCCCTGCCTTCCTCGCCCGTCAGGCAAGAACTGGCTGCAGCTGGATGCTTTGCACTTTCTCCACACACAGCACCTGAAGCTGCAGTCTTTGTTTCATTCTAATTGCTAAAGGTGCTCAAGAGATGTCGCGAGCTCATTTTCCTCAAAGCAACAATCTAGGCAACGGCTAGCTTCCCATGGCAACGACCTCGATCCCATCTGCCTGCATCATCTGCCTCCATCCCGGCGGCCTCCAAGCCCAACAGGCGTGGTAAATCAGGTTCCTGGAGCAAACGAAGCAAGTGGCATTCGGCTAAGAGCTGGAACCACCGTGAGTCCCAGATTTCCACATGAAGTGCCATGATTCGATTGCCTCCCTGAAGTCATTCCCTGCAAGCCAAAGCTGAACAGACCTAATTATATACCTGCTCAAAAGCAATGCCAAACCCATTTCAAGGTCAAAGTTATAACCAGCGACTGGGTATAGCTGAAGCGAGCAACCTGCACGGCAGGCCGCTGAACATGCTGTGGCTGCGATGCCTGCTGCTTGCTGCAGGCGCAACCCATGGCGGCGCCGTCAGCAGCACAAGTCGCGCGGAACGTTATACCTAAAAACTCCGCGCTTTTGGCGGAGTAGAAAAAACTGGATGCTGGAGCACAAAAAAGGGCGGAAAAGGGCCTGAGTCCACTCCACAAGTGATGCAAGTGTTTTGCAAATTGATTGAAAAGGCACAAAAACACATGGGAACACCATCTGCAATTATCACACATGGAAACGCACATGCATCTATTCCTGGAATCACTTGTTGCAAAGCGTCACAGCATGCGTCACAGCGCCGCGTGATCCGGCGCGGCCTCGTCATCCAAGTCATCCGGAGGCGCATCCACGGGACTGTTGGCCTCCGGGGAATCGGCGGTGACACCGGCAAATCCCCGTTCTGCCGGGGATGCCGCAAGGCCACATGAGAAATGCAAGGCCACTTGCTGCTCCCCAGAGAAATCTTCACCAGGTTGGTGGATTCACCCAGATGGAGGAAATACTTGTAAATTTCACCCGATCCGCAAAAGCAGGAATGCCGCCCTACCACCCAGGATCACTTTGAGGATCGATGTTGAAAGCTCTTTGAGGACAATATCAAACCCCATATGAAGATCTGAAGCTTGTTACCACCATAACTACTCTGGTGCTTCACAACAGCCCAGCTTTTTTTCCAACAGTTCCGGCAACTCCACCATCAAACCCAAAACAGATTGCCCAGCAAAAAACGATGCGGAAAGAACCATACAGATCGTACAATACAAAGAGTTCCGTCACAGTTCCGGCAGTTCCATCTTCCAACCTCCTCAAATACCATCAAATACCTCCCCAGCCCCATCCCCCAGCCACACACTCCAGGTATGGAAGATCTGCCGCCCCATTGACCCCAACTCTGGCACCACCACCCCAATGTATGCAGATCTATGCCAGTCCCATCTGTGTCGTGTTTGAGATCGCCCTACACCCTTTGGCCCCCTTTCGCCGTCCGCTCCAGCGGGCCTCGCGGACTTCCCCGCGTGACCCGCTCCGTGGCCGCGGGCCGCGGCGCCGGGCCCAGCGGGTGAGCAGCGGAAGGAGCGTCCAGTGCGGGAGGAGCGGGGAGTGCACCACCTGGCAGGGTCGGGCAGAGTGGTTTCATTGGATCGGGTGAGTGATCATAGCAAAGTGGTTCAGAGTCTGTTGATGGAGTGCTTTATTATCACAAGGGAGATGCATTACGGGAGATATAGTGGTTTGCTGCAGAATTCAGGCGGAGAGAAGAAGACATCACCTTCAGAAAGGGCCATAGTGACCATAGTGTAATTGGATCAGTGACCGTGGATGAAAACAACAAAATCATCAAACTCTGCTGCACGCCGTGAACGAATTATGGAATGACCGTGGATGTGATCCCTGAAAGACCTGGACAAACCACCTGTGGAGTGAATCCGAAGACCAAGCTGCAGGTGATAAACAACTCACTCCACGTCAATGCGAGCATTTCACTGTCATCTAGCAGTGTGTGGTTAGCTTCCCCCACACTCACTCTGCTCATTGGCTCTTTCTGCCCCTAGCGGGGGAAATGGATCATGACTGAAGTTGAGAGTTCGACTTCTAGCGTTCCTTTGCGCATCCATGGATGTTCCTTCTTCAGGTTCCCTGATACGTTTTCCGGGTTATACTGTTATGTATATACGTATATGTTAAGTCTTTAAATGGGTTTCTTGGAATGAACCGCGCGCAACAAATGGTATGACTCCTAACCTTGGAAGCTTTTGGAGGTATATCCAATGGTCTTACACAAATACAAACACCAATACCCTGGAAGTCCAAAGACTATACTTTTCCATAGTGAAGTGAAGGACAAGTTCCTTTCAGGCACCCTAGTCAGACCATTCTTTTGTTAGTCTTTGACTCCCAGGGAATTCTAATTAAATTCTTATTGTTTCTAGTAAGACACTTGTTTCTAATAGCAAACATTGTTACTAGTAAGGCACCTGTTACTACTAGCGTGGCACTTCTTCCGTTCGTAGCGGAAGCTCTCCTACCGTTCTGGAGCCGTCCGTAGAACGTCGACGGAGCAACAGCGGACACCACTAGCAACTGGGATCCAACGGGGATCCAAGATGGATCAATCAGCAACTCATCAGATTCCCAAGCAGAAATGGACGAGACAAAATACTGACAGCAGCAGTTTCATGGTTCCGGAGTAGAATTTGGACCAGGTTTTGTGGCACCAAGTTGGGACCTCACTGCGAGTACAACAATCGAAAGGTATTAAGTCCCAAAGCGCCCGACACAGCTGGTTCTTACAGGCTAGAATTCCAGCCCGAATCAGATATTCTTGAACAGGAAGAACTTTGAGCCTGAATGAGGGTCCAGGAGCCTGAATGCATCCCAAAGTCACCACAAAGTCAGGGGACCGTGTCCTCTCGGTACTGGAAGCCCCCTTGTAGCGACAAGTCAAGGCATGTAGCGACAAGGCATTCGGTGTTCTGTTCCCCCCAAGGCATCGGTAGGCATGGAGCGCCTTCGGCCAACACCGATCCCATCGGAGCATCCCATTAAACACCAAAGAACATGGCCACCCGCCAAGTCTTCCCATGCGCCTTCACCCGGCTCGGACCGCGCACGGATGCTGGCGCGAAAGGCCCGGGACGGGCGGTGCGCGGTGAAAACGCACGTGCTGCGGCGGGTGGCGGGTGGCGGGTGGCGAACATGGCCCATGGCAGCCCATGAAGGGTGTTTGACTCTGCCTTTTGCGGCTGCAGGTCCTCTAGTGATTCCATATATTAGAGTCAAGTCAACAATCTGACAGGGCGTCGATCAGTTTTTAGCTTTTACTTGATCAGAAACATCTTGCATCAATTTGAGGGCAACTCTTACTTCTACCTCCCGGGTGAATGCAGGAAAAACTGCAGTATGATCTCAAGACCCACTGTAAAAACCCATGAAGAAAAAATTCAATAGTTTTACAACCCCCAGTGTGGCTGATGTCATCACTTGGAAGGAAACCCAAAAGAGGGGGAAGACAAAAGCAAGTTGTATATGTTAATTCTTGATGGACTTTTCTTGCTCCAATGGCCCAAGAACATTTGCTCCGGTCCAACATCTTTTCGACCTAATGAGGCGAGCCTTGTTCTTGCAAACTGCAGTGGCATCATCCAGGGCTTCAGCTGAAAACCGATTGTCATGAATCTCAAGAATTACTGTGAACGTAATGAATAAGAACCTCAACAACTCCAACACACCAACAAGTCCGCCAAATTGTTGTCTTGCAAGGCAACAGTCATAGCTTTTTCCTCGTTTCCTGATTGCCAAGCATTGGGGCGTCAAAACCAATTGTGCCTTCACCTTCTCCCTCACTTTACACTTTGTGAGGGTGTTGGTTCTTTCAGCCTTCTTGTCTCCACGAGTTCTCGGGGGTTCGATCCCTATCCTGTGGCGGAAAGACCCTCTCAACGACGTGGTTTCATGCAACGGGCTCCAAGCAATGTGAACTGCAATCACATGTCATTACTCAGTGAAAGTGTCACCTTGAGGATTGGTCGACCCTCCGTAGGAATGTGGGGTGATCAACTCCAACATGTAGGGCCCTGTCGTGTGGCATGAATGGAGAAGTCCGAGTTTGAACGGTTCTGTTTACTCCATGTATTCCTCCATGATCCACTGTGCGAAGCCTATAGAGGGGTGAATGATTCAGGTTAATCTCACTGTTCCTGAAGCTCTTTACAGCTCCACAATGAAGTACACCCTGAGAACTCATGGAAAGAACGCAGTGGCACGAGAAGAATCAAAGACGTCCTGCAACCTCCATGAACAAAAGAACAACATCAAGTGCAGTAATTAGGGAACTTGGGGGATAAACCGCATGATATCAATCCACCATGAACACACGGCGGAACGGCGGGCTTCGGCGGTCTGCCACACGAACGGCTTCAGCGGTGGAGCTGTCCCCGTCCATCCGGGTCACTCGGGTGTCGGATCGCTGGGGAAACCCGGCAAGCCGTAGATCAGGACGTAGGTGAGGTAGGACATCGCTGGGATGTACAAATCGGGCCTCAGAGCGACATGACTGAACGATGTTTCAGTAACCATAGCATCGCTATACGTTCGGGGCGACCCTGGCATCGCGACTCGAACGGAGCGATCGGACGCTATGAACGGGGCTCCTGGCCTTACTACTAGGAACAAGATCTATTATAGAAACAAAACATCAATAGAAAACGTTCGTTGACCACATCGCCGGGAGGTTTTCAGAGTTTACGACATCGCTGAGATGCTTCAGTCAAAGAATATGTTCATGAACCGCTTTGCTAAGATGCTCCAGGGAAAGAACATCAAACGAGCACCCGAAAATTCGAGGGTCTAATGCTTTATGCAACCAAATTGGGGTTACCTCACAAAGGTTCTGCCAAACATGTTTGGTCAGTGCCCTCATGTTCAACACACATCAATGTTGAACATCGCATAGATGTGGCTACTGGTCCTCAGTGGGGGGCCCTGAAGATAGATCCTGCAGAAACCTTCTGTCGGTTCTTGAAAAAAACGACAGAAATGTTGTAGAAGTTAATAGATGTTTTATGTGTTGTTTTTTAAAATTGGGCTTGCATACTAAAGTGTTCCTCAACAAACCTTATGCTGCCCTCAATGTAGAAAACATCAGCAGCAATAAAGACCACGGTCCCCACCATATTCGCAAACGATTTTCGTTGGACATGGTTTACAACCTGCTATGATAATGATGCCCAGGTTCAACCACGATCCGTTCAAGTCCTGCACCTTTCTCCACTGGGATGCCACGCTGATCAATATCCACCTGGCCGTGTTCCGAGGAACAATCTCAGCAAACTCAGTGAAGGCTCGGAGCAAGGAAGGCAAGGCATCCTCCTATTGTTGTTGTTTCTGCTGTTTTGTTTTCTTCTTCTTCAAGTCCTATGGTCAAGCTGCAAAAATTCCTCATCACTCAATCAAACATCCTTTTACAGTCGCAGACCCTAACACTCCGTCACTTTCCTATTCCTCCGTCGCTTCGACCGCCCCGCTGTGCACCTTCAGCCCATCCGGGCCGACGCCCGGGTGGGAGGCGTCGTTGATGTCGCCGGGGGACTTATCCTCGGTGGAACGGTAGGTGGAAACAGTGCAACACACTGCGGTGGTTTCGGTGGTGTATTTCTTGAACTTATTGAATCGTATTGAATTTATTGAAGGCGACTAAATAAAATGAATACGTTGTGATTGTATGTGATTGTGAAACTGAGTAGTGTGTTTGGGTCTGATTTTTGTGGTGGATGGTCGTGTGGATGGATTAGTTTGGCAAACAAACCAACCAAAAGAACAACAACACAAAACAACACAACAAACCAAAAAAATATAAAACAAACCAACAAACATACAAAACATAACAAAACGAGATAAACCAAACAAACCAAACCAAACCGGACCAAACCAAAGTAAAACAAACCGGACCAAACCAAAGTAAAACAAACAAACAAAACAAACAAACAAAACACACCAACCAAACAAACAAACAAACAAGTAAACAACACAAACAACAAACACCACGGAAGCGCAAGACAAAACCAGTTTGGAAGTCATCCATGAGTCCGGAGCAGCAGTCGTTCCTAAGTGGATGACCCCTTCAACAGGGTGCACTTTCATATATATATATATATATACTGAAAGATTCCTCTCTGATATGAAGAATTTGCGCAGCAAGTTTCAAGATCGAAGTCCCGTACAGGAAGCCCCAGTCAGAAGATGGGTGGAAGGACGTACATGTTCCGGCATCATGTGCTTCTGCAGATCTTCGCAAGTTGGAGATCAAAGCATCACACCCTGAAGTGGAAATTTGTCTCTACGTCAAATCAAATGAATAAATTGAATAATCAACATCCAAGGTTAGAACAAATCAGTATATATATATATATGTTAAACTCTGCGTGTAGCTGCTGAAGGAACAAGCTGCGCACCTTTTTGCTCAGCCCCTGCAAGAGGACGGAGTCAGCTCTGCCATCAAAAGGAGGTCGAGGGCGTCCGAAGGCCACCAAGTCGAAGGGTAACCAAGCCGGCCCGACCGACTGCAGCGAAACACTGTCCAACTGTGACAGGGCGCACGGGTGAAGAGCAACGTGAAGCCGGCAGCTCCACAAGACCTAAGGCGTTGTTGCAAACTCCCGTCACATCGAGGTGCACAGGCATCTCTGTCAAGGCACTCAGTGCAGCTACTTCTTGAAGATAGCTTTCCAGCGTTTGTTGATTCTTGAGGCGCATACGCCACTGAATCTCGCTTATAGGCAAACCTCGCCTATAGCTTTCCACTGCGCCTCCTCCTCGAAGGCCACCTGGAGTCAGTCCGCATGATGGAGGTACAGCAAGCAGGCTGCAAAGGTGGTTCCAACGAGTTCTGAAGGAAGATGGCGATCCAGCAAATAAAAACGTGTCCTTCTCAAAACTGCCAAAAATGCGCTCAAGCAACCAAACAATGTATGAATCAACTATCTTAAGGTGCTGCACTCTAGGTCCTTGACGTCGGCTGGTTTTTGATTGCTCCAACACGAGGAAAGCAACATTGCTCTGCGTGTCAAGGAGGTCAGGAGGCAGAACTAAATGCCGACGCTGGCATTGTAGGATCTCACCGACCCTAGCGATTCCAGCAAAAGCAATCATAACAACACCAGCCCACCTCCTCCACTTCAGTTGCATTGCCAAACTAACCAATGCTCGCATGAACGGAAGGGGAACGGGAATCCGGTGTTTTGTCGGCTCGGCCAATTCCCATCGACCAGCTAAATCCCAGCAGATGTGTGCATATTGTTTCAGATGAGGAACTTTTTGCTGCGCTGCAAGAACCAAGTGCCTGTAGTACAATAATGCTCCTCCACTTCTGAACAAAACATCACCAAACCGCCGGATAGCATGAGCCAGGAAAAGTGGGACTTCCATAAAAAGCAGAAGAGGTTCCTTTGCCTTCACGGTCTCACTGGCCCAATCATAGAAAGCTCTCCAACACTTCTCACCTAGGGCAATTGAAGCGAAGAGCTGCTGCGGCATCATCTCGAGGGAGGTGTTACGCTGGGGGCGAGGTCGTCTCGGCCCTGGCTTCTTGGCTTCACCAACACGAAGAGTTCCTGACCTGCAGCAGCCAGCTATGTTCAACTTTGCAGACCATCCTATATCACTTGCCAGTGCCCCAGCTATCAAACAACAGAACCCTCGTGGGTAAGGCTGTGCGACCAAGGTCCAGGGCTTGTGCAGCACTGGATGTTGCCCTCGAAGAGGGATGTGTGTTTTTCCCTTTTGCTGACATGTGCAAAGCATGCGGATGCCCTGTAGAGCTCGACAGGTCGTGGCAACCCTGGTCCGTTTTCTCCACGGGGTGCCGAACCTGCAATAGTCAACTCGAAGTACTTCAGGACTATCAGGAGGCCCAAAACGTTTGCTAAAACCTTTCTGCTGCCAAAGAAAGGAGCCATCGGGGTTTTCCAGCCAAACAGAACGTTGTGTCGCTCACAAGCGGCCAGAACAATGAGTGCAAAATCATAATGTGCATTCCCTTCGGCAACAGCTGCTTTCATGCCACGAGCCATCCAAGGAAGACCTCGAGGATATCGTTTGCTCCGCACTGGAGGGGTGATAGCACGGGAAAAACTCCTGCAAATAAGGGCTGAGCCACAGACCTTTACCGCTTCAAGCTCAATCAGCTTCAGAACTTGTCTCC